CGACGCCCCAGTCCTTCCCCCTACCCCTCACTGCCCCCTGCCAGGACCAACTTGCCCGGGCCGGGGAAGCGTAAGTCACCGGTTTATATTGATTGCACCAGGCTGGTTCAGCTTTAGGACTAGGAGGCTAGGACATGGGATGGAGACGTCAAAGAAATCTTCAACCTGATTCCATTTAAATTTTCTTTTAAAATATGTTTGTATGGATTTTGAGAGAGAGAGAGAGAGAGAGAGAGAGAGAGAGAGAGAGAGGAGAGAGGAAGGGACAGGGAGAGGGAGAAACACCAATCGTCCGTTGGCCGCCTCTGGCGCGCCCCCTACCGGGGATGGAGCCTGAAAACCCACCGGGCCTGTGCCCACTGGGAATCCAACTGGGGACCTTTCAGTGCCCAGGACGACGCCCAGCCAGCTGAGCCACTCCGTCCAGGGCCAGCCTGAGTAAATTTAATATGCTGTCATTTCCTAAGTAAGGCAGAGTCTTTACACTAAAATGGAACTTTACATTTGCTTTCGTTTGTAAGTATACTTACTATAACCATCTTTAACTGGCATAGCCAGGGAGCATTAACTTATACGCCAGCAGTAACACTAGCTGATATTTATTTTGCTGTCATATGTGCCTAGCAAGGCCTGTAACCGGGCAGCCCCTGAAATCCAGCCCAAATCCTCTTGCCCCACCCCACCCCACCCTATGCACCTGGAGATGGCTGGGGAAGTTGGGCAATGAGGATCTCTTTTTTCCCGGAAAGTTTCATATGTGGTAGCATTGACCATATAACCATATAGCACTCCTTAATATTTTACCTTCATTGACTCATTTAATTCCCACAGCTTCCCTATTTCACAAGGAATGGTAGCATCCCCTATTTAGAGGCGGAAACTGAGGCACAGGAGGTGAAATAATTTTTGCAAAGGTTGCAGAGAAGTGATTGGCAAATCCAGAATTCCAACCCAAACTTTAATCTCTAAACTCATTACCTGTGCAGATCCCCAACAGACACCCTAAACCCCAAAGAAGTATGACACCCTCAGGATGTCATACTCTTAAGAAACTAGTAAGCCTCTGCCAGGACAGGGACAAACAGTGAACCTCTTTTAGGTCTTGTACTGAAGACCTACACACACATTGAGACTGGAGTACTGGAGCCTAGAACCCCTGGCAGTAAGAACTATAATGTCACCCAAGTCAGTGGTAAGACTCCTAGCCACCTGCCTCATGAGAGAAGTAGACCTTTGTCCTTCTGGCTTGGACTTCTGTAGCACTGATCCTAAAGGACGCATGGTCACCTGGTGTTGGCCTCCTCATGGAAGGAGTATTGGCAGTGCCCAGACTGCTACCTGGGGAGGGTGCCCAGAGTATCACAGTACTGTGAGAAGTCTAACCCTCATCCTTACAGGTCTGCAGGTACACACCCCATGACTATTTAAAGTAAGAGTCCAAATATCACTGTTCACCCTTCAGGGCACATTCTTTCCAAGTCCTGGAGGGCCTGGGATGCTCAAGCAATTATCCAAGCTACTCTGTGAAAATAAATTTGAACAAAGATGCCAGAGAGTTTAAAGGCCATTTCATCCCAAGTATGGTAAAAACCCAGTGCTCCACAGCAGAAAACACTCTTTGTTTAACCAGAATGTCCATGCCTCCTACTCCAGCGTTCTTAGTCCCTGGACAGTACTGCACACACAGGTCAAACCTATCTTAAGGTTCTTCTGTCCCTCTACGGGGCAAGGTACTCCCAGATCTGTCTACCTCTCACCATTCATCATATTGATATCCCCTCAAATGTTGATTCCCAGCAAATCTCTCCTGTTGCTTCCAACCTTGACCATAATTTAAATTACATCTCCTTTCTATTCTCTATAGCTCCCTGCACTTTTCTTTATAATACCATGGCTTGGCATGATGTATTTATTAATTTAATACTTATCTTTTCAACTAAATCCTTAGCTCACCAGGCCCGAGAATATGGGAGGCTGCTATCCCTTCAACCCTGGTGCCCAGCATCAGTGCTCAATAAACATAATCAGGGCTCAATAAACTGGCCGTGCACTAGCTAGCACAGGGACCTTGGAGAAACCGCATACAAATTCTTTCTGATCCTCATCTGAAGAATGAGCCAAGAAACAGCAGTGTAGGTCACAACAATTTCCGAAGGATCTGACCATGCCCCAAACCCTCCTATAGATGAATCTATCCACCCATAGTCATTAATAGTAACTGGTCTGTCCTCAACCAGACTGCAAAGTGAGGACCTGTTGTTCTTTAATGAATATCGCCAGCCCTCCTCTGTGTCTCTCAATTGGACACCCCACTCAGGGAAACCTCCCACCCTCGTTACAGTATGCCCCCTGATGAACATGTCTTCTCCTCCTGGAAGAAATAAGACCTTCCCTTTTTTCTCAGCAGGTTGTCAGTAAAGCATGTTATAAACTCATTCCACTGAAGTATGAGTAACTGATAATAGCATATAGCATGGAGCCCAGTCTGAGCTTGTCAAGAGATTTGTTAATCATTCGCCTTGTTGGTGAGCAGCACCAGGAATCAGAGAAACACAGTAACATTTGTAAAGCACTGTGAGCCAGCATGTGGTCAAGCACATCACATATATTCTTATTTTCTGCAAAACCACTCTGTGTCACAGAACCAGCAAGTAGAGATGAGGAGACCTCGGTGCAGAGGGGCTGTGGAGCCTACCCCAGGTTTCACAGTCATGCAGGCGCAGGACAGGACAGGACAAAACAGGAACGCAGACCTGTCTCTCACTGGTATCTGACAATCACAGGTGCCATTGGTAAGTGATATGGCACAGGGGCTCAGAGCTGGGGAAAGGGTATCCAGAGCTGACAGTGAACTCGTCAGAAATGGTTTAGAACATCTAATTACTCTTCTTAAAATACATTTTGCAAATAGGATTTTACATTTTTCTCTTGAATCTCAGATTTGAAATAGTGACAGATAATTAAACAACAGTGCAAAGAAGAAAGCACAAACCTAAAAGGAGACAGAAAGAAAACCAAAGGCATAGCCGTTGTCATGAACATTATGGTATGGTCAAGACTTTGAACATAAATCAGCCAACAGGACTCACGATTATTAGGAAGAAAGATTAACTCTGAGAAATAATGAACGTCTTCTTTGGGTTAAATTCGGGCATGGTTACAGTTCCTGGTTAATGAACATTTGTCACCTGCAAAGTTTAGCAGACACGCAGATATGTGCTGATCTTGAGCTTGGTGCTGTGCATGAAAGTTGGCCAAGATACAGTCCTGGGGGGAGGTCCCTTCTTCTCCCTAAGGTCAGAGTCTGCGACCAGGAGCGATGTTTCAATCACGTTCCTCAGTTTCTTTCACTGTCCCAGGAAGTGTGAGCTCCTTGTGGTTGGCAAACTCGGAGCAGACACCTAGGTTTTTACACGAGTCTGCCTTTTTTTATAGGTGTCAGTCAGAATATGGCCCCCAACCTGAACTCAGCGAAGAATGCATTCGTTTTCTTGGGAAAATCAGTGTTTATTCTTCTGGAGACTATGATTTTCACCTTAATCTCCAAGCCACGGAAGAGCGTTGCGGGTGAAATCGTGCTCATAACGGGCGCCGGGAGCGGGATCGGAAGGCTCTTGGCCCTGATGTTTGCCCGCCTGGGAGCCGTGCTCGTGCTCTGGGACATCAACCAGGACAGGAACGAGGAGACGTGCAGCATGGCACGCGACGCCGGGGCCACGCGGGCCTGTGCCTACACCTGTGACTGCAGCCGAAGGGAGGACGTGTATAGAGTGGCCCACCAGGTAAATACTGGGTCCTTACTCTTGGCTCTGGGGAGGAAGAACTCTGTAGTTTCTTTATCTGTTTCCCTTTCTCAGTGCCAATTTTCCTGTCTCCAACATTCCTTTAATTTAAAATTTTTAGGGGAATTGGAAGTTTTGAGTTCTCACTGTATGCAGTACACCACGCTAAGCACCCTGTACGTATTGTATCATAATCCTGTAAAGTAAGGCCTGTTAGTATCCCTATTTCACAAATGAGAAAACCGAGACTTAGGGCAGGTAAATAGCTTACCTAAGAAACAGCTAATAAGCAAAGCTACAGCTGGGTCATGAGTCTGTGGACTCCTGAGTAGGTACTCTAACCACCACTCCAAACTGACTGTGCTGGCCCCTATCATAATATAAGGTAGGTGAGAGCAGCCTTCTTTGAGGATAAAGAAACTGAGGCAGAGATATTACCTATTCAGGGTCTCAGAGCCAGTGCATGGCTAAGCCAGGATATAAGCCTAAAATCAGTCTAATTTTAAATCCAGCTATTTCCACTCCACCACAATGCCTTTCATTTGAAAGTGTATGTCTCTTAAGTTGTCATGAGAAATCAGAATATTTTGTAAAGACTGTTAACCTCAGTCATTCCTTTGGTGATGATAGAGATGCTCGTACAAAGAACGCTTTTGGGGAACCAAAGCTCCAATATGCCAATGGTAAGGGTTTTCTTATTTTGTAGAGGCACATACTTGTTTGCTGGCTGTCTCCTTTCCTTATTAAGGATTTCTCTGCCTTCATGTTGGCACAAGTATTCCATACATGACTTTCCAGGGCCACTTTTTTTGTGTGGCTCCCGGAGTTCCCCCATTTAGTGAGAAGGGAGAAACCAGACCAACTGTGACAAGCAGGCAACCACATTGGAAAGTTCTTGCACAGCTTCTCTGCTCTAACTGAAATCTCCTGCCACTTCCCACCTTACTTCCTAGTGGAAAGGTTTGCAGGTCACTGGCCAGTGAGTTTTTAACTTTTGTCTTTACATTTTACACATCTTTTCTACCATCTCCAATCAGACGCTGCCCAGAACAATCTGGAGATCCAAACTTGACAAACTAGCATGGGCTCACACTGGGACCACCTTGCAAGGTACAGTTGTGTCTTTGCCTGAGCCAACCTCACACATTCAGCTTTTTGTATTTGAAGTACCAATCACCTGGCAGGTTGACTTAGACTGACTACAAACAACTTCTCTGGCCATTCTTAAGCAATAACTGGCTCATATTCAAACACTGAACGCCTTCAGATACGGAGCAAGCTAATATGAGGTGCTCCACAAATAATTAGTTCCCTCTTCATATCCATAATTTAGTTTTGCCCAAGATGCTCAGCATCAGAAATGGTCAAACATGGCACATTACTAGCCCTTTGTTCAACTTTTCTTACTTCTGGGTCTTGCAGACAATTAATTATATGCTCTTCTGAATTCAGGAGAAACAAACTACTTTCCACCCTTATAAACCAAGCATTTACTCTTCTTATTCTGGATAGAGGGATGGTACCAGAGAATTTTTAAGAAGTACGCTATAGAGGAGTAATTGAGGTGAAAATTGTTGGAGTAGTAGACAGTGTTTTATCTCCACTGAGACCCCAATAGCCTTGAAAGCTTGTGCCCCTAGCTCATAGTTAGCACTGAAAGTCCAACCTTGATACCTGCCATCCTGGATGAGAGGTCATTTTGAACAATAAACACAAGACCAAGCTGGAGCTATGTAGTCACTTACCCTTAATGTGGCATGTGGATATATATTTACCTATATATTTAATGACTGTGATCTCTTGGACAAGCCAAATCATAATCAGTTTTGCTGGGCATACCTCTAATTGACTGCACTGGTTCAACAGAAAAAAACACCACCTTATTACAGGCATACCTCTAAGATATTGAGGATACAGTTCCAGACCACCGCAATAAAGTAAGTTGGTGGAGGGTCTTGCCTTATTTGTAAAAATGAGGTAAGTTTGTATCTGTAGTGTCTATGAAAATTTTTTAAGGTTTATTACTGATTCCTGATATCCAAGATCAAACTTCAGGATTGCTTCATCTTTTAAACCACATGGCCACTGGTAGAAGTAGACTTTGACCTGTTGCCCACTATGACTCATAAATAGTGGTGGGGACAGTCAAATTGGCCACCCGGGGCAGTGTGGAGTTGACACAGCCTTCCTGTGGGTTCTTGTTGTCGCAGTGTGGATGTTCATAGGTGGGCACAGCTTATGTGCAGGTCTTCCTAGAGGTGTCACCCAGGTCTGGATAGACTGTTGTCACATTCTTACAACAAGGGGAACAATGAATGCAAATAGCAGAAAGAAAGAAAACTAGTAAAACTAGAATCTGTTGCATTTTCCCTTAGATGTTACCCCCCAAGCCCCTTACAAAACAACACAATACCAACAAACTTACTCTCATCCCAGGATGACAGTTTATTGTGTTATGATTAGTCAGCAGTATTAACTATGTTGTTAAGTCACACACAGTTAAACCTGATCCCTTTTCTCCCTAGCGTAGCAGAGGCTGAATACTTGTGATACCTTTTCATGCTTAAAGGAAAAAAAATAGACTTGGGAGCAAGATAATCTTATATATGAAATAGATAAATCAATAGGGAAGAAGATTATTCACATGAAAAATCCTGTCACAAGTGCTTGGTCTAGTACGTTTCAAAGCTTGTGTCCCTAGCTTTTTTTATGAATCATAAATATACAATTTTTATATACTGCAAAGATGTGAACCATGGCTAACAAAACCCCCAGTGCCTACTTTGAAATTAAAATCTGATGTTTTTCTCATCAAGTGTTTGATAACATGCTCTATTCATCTGAGAGGTGGGGGTGACACACGTCCCTGTTTACTTCTCTTAGATGTAACTTCTAGCTTTGCCATTCTCACTCTGAGCTCAGACATCAGCCTCTAATGCTAGTGCTGTCTCCCAGTCCACACACCTCTCCAGCTTTTGATTCTGCCTCAGGTAGGGCTTACCTCATGGTTTCTAGCCTTGCTGTTCAGTTTGGATTTGACAACATATATCTACCCACTCTCCAAATCAGACTTTGTTAGACTGTTTCAAGTGCTTTTATCTGAAAACTCTAACATAGAATGAGATTTCCTTCATCTCTATTTCACTCTGAATTTTCCCTAGACTACAGACCTAGTTGACTAGTAAATGCCTAACACATGTCATCCTCATTGCTGGGACCCATCCTCCCCTGTACCACACTGCACCGTCCACCCAGGCAGGTGCATACACATGCACACACACATGCAGGTGTGCACATATGTACACACACAGAGCTAGAGATGTAGGTGGTACTGCTGTGAGCCTCCCATGCAGCACATGGCAACTGCAACCAGTGGTTTCCTCGGATTTGGGGGACAGGCCCCTGGTGTGTGATATAAATTACAATAATGAAATTCAAAACACAAAGAGGAGCAAAGGGACAGCACTGTCTCCTGTCATCAATCCTGGCAAATCTTGTGCTCATGTCTGACACAACAGCCAGGGCTACACACTAAAGATGTGCTCTAAGGGGAAGGCTCCAGTGTCCCACCCAGAATTTTTATTTCTTAAATAAAAGTTACTGAATATCTACAGAGTTATAGCGGCCAATAGGACCTATTCTGTTCCTCCCTTCAAAGATCTTATGCCTAAAAATTTGGGGAGGGAGAAGAAAACCAGCCAATTGATGAAAACAGGACAGACAGGTTCTGAACTATGCTGTGTGTTTAAAGCATGGATAGGAGTATCACACTTCTTCCATTTACTCCCTACGCCACCCCATCTCCATGTCTGCTAGGGCTTAATTTATATGACATGACTATAACGGCGTATGTCCTATCACATTGATTAAAATGATATGCTGCTTAGAGCATAGAACAAAGTTACTATTCACCAAGTATAAGAGTAGCTCTAAATGTAGAAGGAAAGCAGCATTGCAATGTTGGAACTATCATAAGGAGGGGAGGAATCAGAAGAAAAACATCAGACTTGGATCGCCGATACACTGTACACTTAGCAAAGGAAATAAAACGTACTTTGTTTTCAGACTGCATAGACTCAGTCTGTGTTAACAAGGATAAGAGGTGTATAAAACTGGGGGAAAGTAAAACCTAGGTCACATAAGAAATTACTACATTGATGGTGTTGCTCTTGTTACTCAATGCAGGTTAAAAAAGAAGTTGGTGACGTTTCCATCCTAATCAACAATGCCAGCATCGTAACAGGCAAAAAGTTCCTCGACTGCCCAGATGAGCTTATGGAAAAGAGTCTCGATGTGAATTTCAAAGCGCATTTATGGGTAATTATATTTTTCTTCTCATAATAAAGATTAGCCTCTAAATAAAGCTCAGGCTTCTCAATTTTAGATTATCCTGGTCCACCTAGTCATCTCCTAATCCAACTCAACCCACACCTCCTAGAGGTCCTGCCCAGGGATCCTACAAAGACACACTGTCCTCATGGCACTAATATGGTTTATTCATTGCCAGGCACTATCATAGGCACCTCGGGTATGAGCCTTAAAACAGCTCAGTGAGATAAGGAGTCACAGAAGTTAAAAAGTTTGCTCAAGCCTGGCTGGGCGTGGCTCAGCCGTTGAGCACCGGCCTAGGATCCAGGCGATCGAGGTTCGATTCCCGGTCAGGGCACATGCCTGGTTGCGGGCTCGATCAATGACTCTCTCATCACTGATGTTTCTGTCTCTCTCTCTCTCCTTTCCTCTCTCTAAAATCAATAAAGATATATTTTTTAAAAAAAAAAAGTTTGCTCAAGGCTACACAGCAAGTGACAGCACTTAGACATGACCAGGGCGACCTTATCATTGGCCTAAGCTGGAACCCTTTGAAAGTGAAAGGGGGCATTCTTAATAAGCATTAATCAGGTCTGTTCTGGGCCAACCAAGACATTCGGTCACCCGACTCAGTACCTGGTGACTACATGCTGTGGGCATTAAGGGACACAGCCATGTGCCCACTTGCAGACATTTCGTTTTCCTGGCCGTTGCTGAGCCCGGCCATGCTGGGCCTCTCCGGGCCGCGCTCCCTCGTCTGCCTCCCCCAGCCCTTGAGCTCATTTCCCTCCCACCCGCTCACAGCTCGCCCTTCCCTGGGCCAGCTGTGCTCCGGGAGTGCGATTCATGAGATCCCCTCCATTCTCCTCACACCTCTCCATGTGGACTTTCCGCCCAACTCTCCTTTCACAGTCTTCAAATGTTTTCTGGAGTCTGTAGGTTCTCTGTCCCCTCATTTCACCAAAAATGTCATGGTGTTGGCGGTACTCTTGGTGTTCTCTTTGGTCTTCAGGAAAAAGATGGAAAGATTCAGAACTAAGTGGCCACCATGCTCCTTCAAGAACTACTGCAAGTGATTTATGCTGTCTTGTTGCAAATGCCCCTCTGCTTCATTAGAATGAAGCTGGAACATACCGTCGGAATGAAGACAATCTCCTTGAAAGTCTCCACTCCCGTGGCTTTCGTGTTCTTTTCCCACCGCTCGGCCTCCCTGGTCTCTTTCATGGCCTCCTCTATCTCTTCTTTCTCTCACTCTTCTTCTAGACGTTCCTGAAATACTGATGTTTCCCTGGCCCCTGCCCTCCCCTCACATCCCCTCGCTCTGTATACTTTTTCCGGGCAAGTCCAAGTACATTCTTTGAGTACTTGCACAGAGTAGGCACTTACTTGCCAGAGGGAGAGAGAGCTCATGGTGACAAAGCTCCTGAGGGGAGTGTCCCTGGGGAGAAGCCAGGGTGTTTCACTATGCTGCTTGTTTTGATTTTCTCTCTGCATGTGTTAGGTTCCCTCTGTAACTCTTTATGATGCAGACAAAAGTTGGTTGACTTTTATAAGAGATCCCTTTTCTCATATTTATTCATATTAGGAAACAAATATGAACTATAAATGTATGAAATAATATGCAGTTATCCCATTTGGTTAATTATGTCTCTGTTGCAGAATACATCTTCTCCCAAAGCTCATTGCTCTCCTTTATCTTCTTTCTCCAAATCCCACATCAAAGGTAAAGGAGCTCTGTAGTCCTCAAACACAGCATACAACATCCCCCTCTTCCTAACAGATATTCTCTTTTATGACAGGGAATAAAATTAAGAAACCATTATTCAAAGAAGTAGAGATAAATTTAAAAACTAAGTGATATTTTTCAACTGACGCCAACAGCAGGATGTCCTGTGAACAGTCTTCAGAAAAATTTGAAATTTAAATATGATCCCGGAGGGAAAGAAGGCAATGTAAATCTAAATAATCTCATTCTTGATTGTAATCTAAATAATCAGATCTTTGTCTTTTTGGATTGTGGCTGCCACAACTAAGATTCTCCTGTACTGCTTCAATTATTGTCTTAATACTGTGGTTTTTTAAGTCAAATATGAGTAAAAATAAGTCTGAATAAATTATTTGTAATAATATTGGTATGCCATGAGGAAAATGTTGGTTTAATAGGTTAAACAAGTTAAGATGGTTACTTTCCAGATGTTTAAGTTTTTATATCCCAGTGCCTTCAGATATTTTTATGAGCTTAAAAAAAATTTTTTAATCACAATGACCACATAAACATCTGAAAAAGTGTAAAATGTGGTATAAAATATTAAAAGTTTTACTTTGTTCTTCTTAGACTTATAAAGCCTTTCTACCTGCTATGATTGCTAATGCCCATGGACATTTGGTTTGCATTTCAAGTTCAGCTGGATTAATCGGAGTAAATGGGATGGCAGGTAAGAAAAGTGTGGTATTTCACATTTGCACATTTTTTCTAACTTTAACTTACATAATATCTCTGAGTAACCAGCATTGACTTGATGCACCAATAATAAAGATAATAAATTAAGAAGTCTATTCAATAAGAAAAGTGGGTGAGAACTACATATTGCATCAAAACTGCCATCAGATATACTTACCGGAAGTTGAAGTATGCCCTTGGAATCATTAGGTCTTATGCAATCCCCTGGGTTTAAGAAAAAACAGAGACCTTGTTGAATGTTTTTACACAAGTGATTAGCAAAGTCACCATCCCTCCCAAGTTCCTCTGGCACTGTCATCAGAATGGTAAAGGTGACCACTCTGCCTTCTGAAGTCTCCCCCTGCTGTCAGTTTGGAGATAATTTCTCCACCCCAAGAAACTTAAACTTCACCTCTTTGTTTTCCCACTGGTTGGAAGACTTGCAGGAAGTGGTTGTCATTTTCACCTCTCTTGCAACTGACTTCACATTAGCAGTGGGGAGGGGACAAAGAGATACACCAGGATCCTCAGTGAAGGTGGCCCAACTCAGGAGCTGGGAGCAGCAGAAATCTCCTCCTTCCCTAGCAGGGCATCCCCTGGAGCAACATTCTGAGTACTGGTTGACACAGATCCCTGAGACTTGGGCATGAGAAACCCTAGCTAGCTGCAACTTTGCCATGCTTACCCATTGGGCACTTCCTTATGCTTCTGAGCTAAGCAGCATAGTTCAAGATTCACAATCCTAGTCTAAGCACAGTTCATCTCAGTTATGTGAATAGGTTTTTCAGAACCACAAGTCACTCAAAATATTACAGGTCTGTACATATCTCCCTGTACCTTGGACCTCCCTTCTTCTGTCATTCTCAGAAATCATCACATATTAGTATTACTTCTCTCTTATGTGTCTGATAAATGATGAAACTCTGAAATAATACAGGTATATTTACAGCTCCTATTAATCCTTTCTCTGACACTGTATATCTTCAGATGGATTCTTCCACCCCCAGCTGACCTTAGAAACAAGTGTAAGCCTTTTGTAACTCCCCTGCATCAGAACCACCAAGGGTGTTATTTATAATGCAGATTCTCTGGTCCTGGGCCATATCTGCTCATCCTAATCTCAGGGGTTGAGGGACTCAGTGAGCTGCAGTTATACCAGATGATTCAGATGATTCTAGAAGCTGGTCAGGGTTTCTCCCCCCTCCCTCCTTCTATATGGGCTTAGCCGCCCTCTTGGACAGCAGTGGGCCTGACAGCACCATGCCTGACAGTTATACCCTGGTTCTTGCCAGTTGTGGTAGCTGCTTCTCAACAGGGCAAGTACATATACCTCGCTTGACTGTGTGAGGCAAAGGGAGGGAGAAACACACCTAAATGCTTTTCTACTCCAAACTTTTCCAAATTCAGTGAACTGAAAATTCAGGTGTTTACTTGAAGTGAGAGTGATTGAAGACAGCAAGCTCAAAACTGACATAAATGCCACTTTCCACTCTCCCTGCATTTTCAAGATATTTAAGAGGTTGAATTTTAAGCTACAGAGGCCTTTGTTTTTCTTTTGGAAGTGGAAGAAAGAGTTATAGTTGGAAGAAAATTCAATCTGAGTATCATGACCCATGCCGCCCTCTCTTACCTAGCCTACATCACTTACTGTATTTCCTCTTTTGTGTGTCTTCCTGCCCTAGCTGAGTTGAAGTTCTTTGGGACAGGGACTGGAAACACACACCATGTGCCCCATATAACAGCTAGCATGTGTCTGACCATTCATTAATGTGGAAGTCAAGTCTAGCAGGGCGACCATAGGAGGCTCCCAGCAGCAGCCATTGGGTCGTTATCAACTGAACTTTATGCGACCTTGTCTCTCCCCACTCACCCCACACATCTCCCAGTGGGAATGGACCAAGATCACACAAAATAAGAACTATGACATTGTTGTCTAATTCTCTGCTAGTGTTATGAGGAGACCTTAATGTAATGCCATTTTTAAAACTTCAGAATATCCATCAGCATTGTCTTTTTCAGATTATTGCACAAGTAAATTTGCAGCCTGCGGATTTGTGGAATCTATTTTTGTAGAACTATTTGCCCAGAAAATAAAGGGTATTAAAACCACCATCGTATGCCCATATTTAATAAGTACTGTAATGTTTGAAGGTTGTACTACTGGGTAAGTATGTGCTATAATTTCAAAGAAACTGCATTTTAAAAAATGATCGGCTATCTATTTGATTTTTTTTCTATCTGTTTTTTATTTTTATTTTTATTTTTTATTTTTATTTCACCTGAGGACATGCTTAAAGAGGGAACTGAGCCAGCAACCTTTCCGTGCACAGGATGACAGTCAACCAACTGAGCCTCTCTGGCTGGGTTTTTCTAACTGTGTTTTAAACTTGTTTAAAAAGATGTTTCTTTAGGATTCAGTCTGATTTATAAATGGTTTCAGAATTTCTTATTTCCTCAAATGTGTTTGTATTTCAGATGTTGAGTTTAATGTGAATGGTTTATCAAAGCTGTGTCCCACTCGTAGCCACTTTGTAGCCTGGATCTGCTCCTTTGTCTACCCAGGACTCAACATTCCCTTTCTGCCATCCAACTCCCTCCTCCCCTCATCCCTGATTCCACAGAAGAACTGGAAATCATTGCAGGGACACAAGGGCCCCATTCTGCATCTCATGGAGATGACAGGAATTTAGTTTTCAAAGACTTGCTTTATACTAGTAGACCATTTGTTTAATTAGTAAGACCAATGGTTTTACATGTATGCATATTGTACATCAGTGTATTAATCAGAATCATTTTCTATTTCAAATTCTAATTATTATTATGTTGATAATCAGGGAATAAATATAGAAGTAGATCAAATCTGGAAGGGAAAGAAGCAAATGAATGATAATGTCTTACAGCCTTTTTCTTAATTTGTAAGAATTGTTTTTATTAATTTGTTCATTTTTGTTTTTGTTTTTTTACCTCCTAGCTGTCCTTTTCTGTTACCAATTATAGAACCAGAATATGCAGCCAGGAAGATAGTAGATGCTATCCTGCAAGAAAAGGTGTACTTGTATATACCAAAGTTTCTGTACATTGCTATGTTTTTAAAAAGGTAACTATCAGCTTCTATGACTTCTCTAATGTACCAACCAACAACTTTTCCAAATCCTACCAGGAGAAGTGACTAAAAAAATATCTGTTAATGAATTCTGATTCCTTCCTTGTGCCCATTTGCTGACATAATCTCAAATGTGCATAGTTGCAGTGCCTCCCAGGGATCTAGAAAATGGAGCTGGATCCTGCCAGCTTAGCATTATTGTCAAAAAGAAGTGGATTCATGCATGTGGAAAGAAAAAAGGCCATGAAGCTAGAAGTCAGGAGAACTGAGACTTAGTTCTGGTTTGGCTACTAACTTCTGTTTGACCTTGAAGGAGTCATTAATGTTTTTGTTCCTCAATTTCCTCACAATATCACTGTAAGGATCAAGTAAGATATTATGGAAACTCTTTAAATATCAGCAAACCTATTTATTTGGAAGGCAATTTATTTGGGAAGGTATCACACGATTCTAACATCACAAATTCCCAACTGCAACAAAAATCAGAAAAATGTGTGTGACCTATGGTTCTTTTATGGAAACATTTTTTTAAAAATAAAAAGCCTAGGTGAATATAAAGTTTTCATTTTAAAGGAAGGAGCCGCCATGATTTAGAGAGAGATTTCTGAGGACAAATAGAAAATCCTTTGAAGACTTGGAATTTAAATTGGCACCACTCTATTTGAATTCAAATTTCTAATGCCAGAGATTCTATGAATACCTAAGTAGCATTAGGAAAAAATGCACATCTATTGTTGCCTCTATCTTCTCATCTTTTAAAGACAAAAGTTGAAAGCTTTTTAAATCCTTTTTTTACAGGTTTCCATTTTTCTTCACTGGGGGTATGTATGTGCGGGCATCCTAAGGACACAAAATGTATATCTGAATGTGTCATCCCTGCTAACAATTAGTTTCCCAGCCCTCAGAATAAGCATCAGTCAACCTAGGTTAATGATTCTCAACCCTGGCTGCTTTATCTGGGAGACTTGTAAAACATACCTATATCTAGTCCCTTCTCCTCTAACTGAATCAGAATCTTTGTGGGTGAGGCCTGGGTTATAATTTTGTAAAAGCCATATGGCCTGACACTGGCTTCTCCAGTCTCCTCTGCTACCACCCTCCCTCAGTCCTTGGTATTGGAAACAGCCCCAGGCATTTGCACGTGCTATGCCCCCTCTTAGCTTAAGCATTCCTTCCCTGGCCTCCCAGAATATCCCATATGGCTCCAATGCACACTCTCCTAGCACCTGACCCCGGCCTCCTTAGAACATCTCACAGCTGCATTGACCACGTATTTTTGAGATCCTTGGATGATCATCTGCCTCCCCACTGGGCTGTGGGTTCCTAAGATCAGAGGCCATTTGGTTTCTGCTCACTGTTTTGTACCTTCAGCTCCAGGGAAGGGCCTGACAAGAAAGAGATTCCCTGCCTGCATAACCAAAAGTCTTTTCTCTTTAGCTAATTGTATCCACTTTGTACAATTAACCAAAAATCATTCTTACACCCCTTTACTTCATCAGGCTTCACCTAGCACAGGACTGGTGACTGATATGGCTGCTAAAGTCGTGTGGGACAGGGCAAAGGGTCTTTGACAAGGAGATTGAAATCTGGAGTTATAATCCTGCCATGTACTAAGCCTGTGACTCTGAACTTGGCCTTTATTCTCCAGGTCCAATTTCATTTATGATGTAGAAATCCATGCTTGTAAGCTTGTGAATGAGTGAATATAATGACTCTATTGGGCAGTGTGCATGTTCACAGTGCAGTGGCTACACTTGCCTAATAGAGGTTAGAAATGCGAATTGTAAAGAACATGAGACTTCATTTTTCTAATTTTTTAAATAATTATAGAGTTGCTATTTACTTTGATAGGCCCCAATTGAGGGTGATCTGCATAGTTCCTGAGAAGGCTTTGAAAACATTAAATTAAGTGAAGGGATCACATCACACACTCCTTCCAATACTCATCCCACAAGCATTAGAGAGTGCCTAGAGTGTGCCATGCATCCATGCTTTGCTGACCACCCTAGGATTGGGGGTGACAGCAAAGAACAAGAGAGACAAGAGTCCTTGCCCTTGTGGAAATTACCTTCCTAGGGGGTCAGGAGCAGGGAACAAACAAAACATAATAAAGTAAAAGAAAAGGTATGCTGGGTGGTCATAAGAGCTACAAAGAAATACAAAGCAGGAAAAGGAACTCCCAGAGTGGAATGAGCAAGGGTACAGGTTGAGATTTAATTTTCAGTATGGTACTCAGGGGAGATCTCTTGGAAAAGGTAACATTTACCAGAGACCTGAAGCTGGGGAGGACAGGAACCACCTGGATTTCTTGGGGTGCCCCCAGAGGAACAGCGAGCACAGGTCCTTTACTTTACCCCCCCCTTACTACAAGCCTCAGGTGTACTGTGCCTGCTCTGTTTCCTGTGCCTCTCCTTGCTCTGCAGTGTGAACATCAGAATCCACGTGGTCAGAGTGCTCTGTCAGGAGGGGCACTTGGGGTGGAGAGGATGAACGGTCTTAGTTGGGTCTTGCCAAAGACCTGAGAAGCTATTGCATCTAATCTTCACAGTCATCCCAGAAAGAAAGACCATGACCTCATTTTACATGGGAAGAAACTGAGGCTCACATGCTAACTAACTTGCCTGAGATGACATTGTAAATGACAACTAGGTTTCAAGCCAGGTCATCAGACTCCACAAGACATCACTGCTTCCTGCCAATCATTACATAGTGTAGGGAAGCTTTGGAAATGGACATGAGAAGTGAGTTGAATCATGTAAATAAAACAAGGAGAGATATAGAGACCCTGGGCTGGTGTCCTCCCACATGGTAGACTAGCCCAGGGTGACTCTGAGGCATGCACATCAATTGTGCATGTGCGAATTCATCTGCAACAGGTTGGTGGCGCTGCTTTTCAGCTGCACGGGTAAAGATGCTCTTATGAATGATAACTGAGAACATTTACTCTTCTCTTTAGTATCCTTCCCATTAAGTTGACAATGCTCATAAATGAATATCTGGGCTCCCTCAATATAATGGATAACTTCATTGAAAAAAAGAAGAGCTAAAGACCAACTCTATGGCTGATGTCATCTGATACTTAACACTACATATTGCTTATTTCAGGGAAGACGGGGATTTTTGTCTGATGGAATATATCTGGAGACTATAAGTACCATTCTTGTTCTTCTATCTGGATTAGTATTTTCAACCAATACTTTTGAAATAATGTTGCTATCTGCTTTTTTGTTGATTTTTTTTTAATTAATAAAAAGAGCTCATTTTTGTCATCCTTGCTGGCCATAAAAGGAAGGAAGAGAGAGAGAACCACCCACATGATGAGTGTTTAACTGGAGTGTCCTCTTTCCAGAGGACACAGAGCTCTGGATTTCCTGTCACCTTGCTCTCAGCCTTAGCCTTTTTGAACCTCTGTGTGCCCCCTGCTGTAGAAAAAGCCAGCCTCCTGTGTCCATCTATCCAAAGAAGCCACACAAATGCTTACTTGTACATGGCCTGGATGCTCACAGAGTAAGTGCCAATCCTACTGAAGGCACATCAGGTGCCACTGTGAGGGAGCCTTACTGTCCATTCCCTGAAATCGCTAGTAGACTGTGACCCTACATCCAACTCTGAATGGGATCACATTTTTTTCCTAAAAAGAAATCAAAGAAAATGACATTCTACTGAATTAGATGAACTGCTACATATTAATCCAGAAAACACACTCATGTAGTTAATTTCAGGTGTTTAGTATTTCACGTTGAGAGTCATGTTGAGTTGTTTATCCCCACAATGGACAGTTTTATGCATTGGTAGTGATCAGTGCTGCCTCCATTTCAGATCAATTGTATTCTTACAGTTTAATCAACTAGCCAACTGCTCTCAAGCCTTGGAGATTCACCATAAAAGGAAGATTAAGAAAAATGTGTTAGCCCAGCCGGGTGTGGCTCAGCGGTTGAGCATTGACCAAGGATCCAGGAGATCGGGGTTCGATTCCCAGTTAGGGCACATGCCCGGGTTGCGGGCTAGGCAGCCGATCAATGACTCTCTCATCATTGATGTTGCTCTCTCTCTCCCTCCTTTCCTCTCTCTGAAATCCATAAAGATATATTTTTTAAAAAAAGAAAAATGTGTTAATTACCGTACCCTAGAACTCCTTCCCAGGCTGGGCGGGGCACCTGCCTTCCCAAAGAAACAGTAGCCTTTGTCTCTTACCTTCTTTTGTGTGGGGAGCAGGAAAGGATGAGAGGTATCTTGGAAGACCCTGTGAGAGTCAAAAGAAAAGAGTTTAAAAATCTTGAGGGTAAGTGGCTCTTAAGGGGTAACAGGAATGTGGAGTCTGGAATTCACTGTGGACTGGTTTGTCTTGAGCTGTCTGTATGGTTCTGACAACTCTGCCCTTATATTTCCTTCCCATTCAGAATTTTTTTTAAAAAAAACTTGTTATGATAATAAAAATGATAGCTAATATTTATTGTGCCTGGCACAAAGCTAAGCACTTTATACACGATTTCATTAAACAAGAATATTACATCATTACTCAAAGAATAATAAAGCTATTTGGTATATGCCTAAGAATAAGAGGCATCTTATTTCACAAGAGTGATATCCTACTCAACTGTAGATGTGTACTAAGAAGATCAAAAGGCCCTCTGACTAACCAACTGATGTTCCAAATCCTTGGTTAACAAGCTTAATTAACAGAGAGGCACAATATTGCTCCTATATTACAATTCCAAAAGCGTATATTGTAGGGGCCTGTCTATTTTGTTGAAGAATAAAGTAGAGACTCTTAGGGGATTTAGTAGAACAAAGGTCTAGGCGTAGTGGGCATCCACCACTCATAACAGCATTAACAGCAATTAATTCTAATTGGAGAGCATCTTGGCTAGACTACTACAAAGTCCCAAAATTCAATTGTGGTTTTATAGTACCCATAAAATTGTATAAACAAATTCAGATTTACTTGAAGTACTCATATGAGAAGAGACCACATGTAAATTAGAGGATTCTAAAAGGTAATAAATAACAAGGAGATTTAATACCACTGAGAGCAAGTGTTCTCGGCATGTGTCTCATACAATTTCCCATCCAAAATTTAACCCTAGTGATACCAAGATTAAGAGTCTAAGTAAGCCTTAAGAAAGGGAAGGCTAAAGAACAAGGGCTATATGCCAGGATTGGGCACTTCACCCTCCAGAACGGCATCATATAGCATCCTGTGGTCACCATGCTGCTCAAGAACTAAGATGACTTCTTAGTACTGGAAGGAGTTTGGCTGGGTAAAAATGTGTGACCATGCTCTTCCTTTTTTGTTTGTTTAGTTGGTTGGTTAGTTTTTACATTGTGATGCTATATTCGTCAGCTCCAGCTACCATTACAAGTTACCACAGACTGGGCAACTTAAACAACAGAAATGTATTTTCTCACAGTTCTGGAGGCTGGAAGTCCAACATCAAGGTGCCAGCTGATTCAGTTTCTGGAGAGAGCTCATGGCAGATGGCCCTCTTCCCACTGTCTTCACATGGCCTTTCCTCAGTGTGTGGGCATAGAGAGAGAGATCTGACTCTTCCCTTTTCTATGAGGCCACTAATCCCATCATGAGGACCCCATTCTCCTGATCTAATCTAACCCTAATTACTTCCCCAAGGCTCTTCCTCCAAATACCATCACACTGAGGTGCAGGGCTTCAATATACTAATTTAGGGTAGGGGGCTACAAACTTTCCATCCATACTGATGCCAAGAGAGAAAAGGAAATCCAGGCCACGGATGATCCATATACTCTGCAGTGTCCTAATGCTGAGGTGGTCACAGTTTGTCAAATAAAATAGTTTAGAATCCTGCAGGTAGGACAAATTGGAGAGGCTTGAAAAAAAACCTAATTCCAACTACTAAGAGTCAGCACTTGATAGAAACATGATGGAATTTGGACCACCAAGCAAAAGCTGATGCGAAGCAAGATGCCCCGTGCAAAATGAAGAGACAATGGCAGTCTAAGCATCTGCAACATTTCCAGGCAGTGACCTATTTGGGGTTTATCCAAGTGTCTCCCAGTATCACTTTCCTTCGAAGCTGCTGAACAGTTTCCCTTTGCTGTCAGTGAATAGGCCACAACTGGACCACTGAAGAGACCTGGGGGGTCTGTAGCCTGGGTTCCTTTGTTTATATATATAAGCTTGCTATCGAATTGGAAAGCAATCCAATAACAAGTGCCCCAGTCATTGGTGCTCGTCCCTTGGGAAGGCTGCTTGCACGGTGGTAATGGTAAAGCCTGTCACCTGTGCCCATGCGGTACACAGGCACCAAGATGTCCTTACTGTGGATCAGCACTAACTAAAGCTGTGATGACAGGGGTAAGAAAGCTCCGCTCAGCGTCACCAGTTATTGCTTCAAGGCCTAGAACCTCACTGGTTTCCCTCACATTGGTCTTGATCATTGCATTTTACAAAAGCTACCGCTGAACTCACACTGGCCCTCCATGCAAAGCCAGGTAGACCTGTCACCGCTTGGCTCCTCCTTTTTCCCGTGGTGGCCTTTCAGACCTCCTTCTCAAGCCCACCACAGTCTCTTCATCTACGCTTTCCCAAGGCTAACCTTCTCTTCTTCCTCGCCAAAAAACTGAAGCTGAAAAATATAAACTCCCTCAGTTCCCCAAACCAATATCTTCAAAGTACTTATTTCTGCCTCCACCTGCCTTCTTTTTCTCAGCCTCAGGAGAAGGAGTGAACCTGCTCAGACCAATCCTGCACCTGTGCCCCCCACTCAGGGCCTCCCCGGCCCCTTCAGAAGCCTGCTCTCCCATATCTCAATCTCTCCACCATGAGCTGCTCCCTGCATCCTATAAGCATACTACAGACCATATGAAACTTAAAAATGATAAAAATAAACTTTACAAAAACCTCCATCCCACTCTGGCAACAACTCTCCTCTCCATGAGTAACAGCACTTCAAGTGCAGCCTGGATTACGTAATGTGTCCATTTCCTCAACTCACATTGGCTCCTAAGCCACCTGGCTTCCACATCCATCACACCACAGCAATTTTTATGAAAATGTCCCTGGGATTTCATTTTTCATCTTAATTTACTGCTCATGACTGCTATTATTAACCTCTCTGCCCTTGGTCCTGGTGTCATCTGCCTACCGGCCTCTCCTTAAATTATTAGTGTTCTTAAACATTCTCTCCTCAGATTTCTCACTTCTTAGGTTCCTTTGGGGGCTCCCAATGATGCCATGGCTCTTTTTCCATGCCCCTGCCAAGGTGTCCAAGCCAGAAACCCAGGTATAAAGCTCTACTTCTGCTCTCACTTCATCTCTCACCTGCCCTCCCATTAGTAATCAAGTCCAGTCCACTCAGCCTCTCAACCATCACTAGCAGGTTTTCCTCACCGTGCCCGCTGCGCTGCCTTAGTTCAGGTTCTTGTCATCTGTTGCCGGCCTCTGCAATGGTTTCCTAGCTGGTCTTTCTGCATCGAGGCTTGTTCACTCTACCATCGAGAATTACATCCAGCTGGGATATCTGAAAACCCCGATATAACAAGTGCTTAGAGAAAGCGGAAGTGTATTTCTCTCTGAGGTTTAAAAAAGCTGTGATACACACAGGAGTGGGCAAAGTGGGTTTACAGTTATGAGTACACAAAACAGAGTTTATTCTTATATTATTATTTATTAATTATTGTATTATTTTCCATATGAACAACTGTAAACCTACTTTTGCCCACCCCTGTATATACAATGGAATATTACTCAGCCAAAAATGAGAATGAAATTTTACCATTTTTAAGAGCATGGATGAACCTAGAGGGTGTTATGCTAAGTGAAATAAGTCAGTCCAAGAAAGACAAATACTATATGATCTCACTTATATGTGGAATCTAAAGAGTAATATAAATGAACAAATAAAACCGAAACAGACTCACAGATACAGAGAACAAACTGATGGTTGCCAGAGGGGAGGTGGAAAAGGTGAAGGGATTGAGAAGTACAGATTGGTAGTTACAAATAGTCATGGGGATGTGAAGTACAGCATAGGAAATATAGTCAATAATACTGTAATAACTATGTATGGTGCCGGGTGGGTACTGGAAATATCAGGGGGAATACTTTGTAAAGTATATAATTGTCCAACCACTATGCTATAGGCCCGAAGCTAAATATAGTCAATAATACTGTAATAACTATGTATGGTGCCGGGTGGGTACTGGAAATATCAGGGGGAATACTTTGTAAAGTATATAATTGTCCAACCACTATGCTATAGGCCCGAAGCTAAATATAGTCAATAATACTGTAATAACTATGTATGGTGCCGGGTGGGTACTGGAAATATCAGGGGGAATACTTTGTAAAGTATATAATTGTCCAACCACTATGCTATAGGCCCGAAGTTGAATGTAAACTGTAATTGAAAATTTTTCATTAAAAAAAAAATAAATTTAAAAAATAAAAATAAAAAGCCTGGAGGTAGCTGTGCAGGCTAATAGGGGTGCCACAGTGTCAGCAACCCAAGCTCCTCTGTGCATTTGCGATGAGTGGCTTACAGCCCAAACACCAGTCTCTACTATGTCCCCTATCTACACTCTGACCTTCAATTTCTACTTTGTGTCAATTCACTGGCCCTGGTAAAACTTGAAATCTCTTTATGTCACATTTTTATTGATGTTTTTAACCTCAACATTTTTAACCTGTTAAGGGTATTTTAATATTTCACTCTGAGAAGTAGAAGTCTTTAGAGCTATGGATTTTTATAGAATAAATATTCTTTTAATTCTTTGTAGGCTAAAAAATTT